CGGAGCCGGGCTCCCCCTGCCGGTACCGGAGCCGGGCTCCCCCTGCCGGTACCGGAGCCGGGCTCCCCCTGCCGGTACCGGGCAGCTCCCCAACAAAAGGGTTCCCGTTCCACGTCGTTCCCGGTTGATTCGCGTGCCCGGCGCGCTCAAGCGCGGCAGAACCGGGAGAACCAAAGGTGCTCGTGCAGCGGGAGGTACCGGAGCCGCCCGGTGCCCGGTGCTTGGCGACAAACCCTGAGAGCAGCGAGTGAAGCAGCGATGCTCCTGCACGGGCCCCTGGTGAGGGGACAGATGGCTGTCACACGAGCAGCGGTGACACGGGGACACGGGGACACGGTCAGTATCCACGGCTGGGCAGTGCCGGTAACGTCTCTGTGTTTATCTGTCACAGCTTGCACACGGAATCGTGGGGCTGTCCCCAGCTGTCCCCAGGGCACTGGCACAGCTGTGCCCCCAGACCCCAGTGTGACACTGTCAGTGCTGCAGCATTTCCTGCCCAGCTCGCTGATTCCAGCTCTCCGACTTCCTCCTCCTGGCAAATACAACGTGAGCTCCTATTAATAGAAGTTTGTGGTTTCTAATGAATTTTTTCCTTCGCTCAGGCTGGTTTGGTGGCTGATCCCTGTTTGGTGGCCCAGTGCTGTGCCAGCTGCCCGTGGCTTTTATTAGCACTTTTCAGAGGCCTTGATTTAGTGCTCACAGTTTCATCCCAGGCCTGTGGCTCTGGAACGCAGCCCCTCAGAAGCAGAGATAATTGGAACTCAGGGGGGGAAAAGTGGTGTCCGAGTCTTTGAACAAAAAAGGTCTTGTTTCAGGAATGTGGTGCTGGAGGCCAGTGCTTGCCAGCAGGGTCTGTCTCCTGCTTGGAGCTGGTGCCTGCACTCAGATCCTGCCCTCCGCAGACACTCTGGCTGGGATTTTCTGGGAGCATCTCTCAAAATGGAGGCAGAGTGCCCCATGGCAAGTACAGGATGTATCCTGAGAATTGTATTTCTGCAAGCAGAGCAGGAGGGGCTGGTAGGAGGATGTGGGGAAGCAGGAAGAGAGCTTGAAGAGGTGCTCATAAGATTCTTGTACAGGGCAGATGAGGAGGGAAACAAACAACGCAGAGAACAGGAAAACCGATACGCTAGGAAATCATGGATCCACCCCCTGGGCTCCAGCTAAGGAGGATGGGACAAACTCCATGATTTCTGGCAGCCATGAGCTGCAGCTGCTCCACTCAGCTCCCATACTGCAGCCAGATGCGTTTGAGTGCAGCCCCTCCTGCCCTGACACAGCCCCAGCAATGCCCCCATGCTCTGGCAATGCCCCACACGTGTTTGGGGATGTCCCAGGTCCCCTCACCTCCAGGGAGGGTTTCCCAAGGGAGCAGGGAAGTGGGCAGGAGTCAAGTTTAAGCACTGATGTTCTGTATCCTGTTGTTTTCCTACCAGGATTGTTGCAGTTTCCTGCACTGTCTTATCTGGAGCAGGGAAGCCAGCGCTCTCCAGTTCTCTGGCTCTGTGCATGTCCCAGGTTCTAATCTGCAAAACAGGCGTTGGAGCCTGTGAAAGGAACCAGCCAGGGCTGTCACAGGGCAATGGGACAAGGACAGAGGGGGCAAAGGGCTTTTAGTGCCTTGAAATTAGTGTTTTTATGTAGTGTTCCTGTTTGTACAAGGCTGTGTCTGTTTTATGGGTTCAGGCCTCAGCACACCTGGGAGGGGGAGAGAGGAAGATCCCGGTGGTGACATTCTCTGGTGATTCTGTGTCTGACAGACCTTATAGGAGGATAAATCTCAGAAAGTGCTGAGTTTGCTTTTCCCCCCACCAAGGACTCAAAGGACACACATAAAGTCTTAAAACCAAAAAAGCATTCCCATGTTTCAGTCAGCCCAAAGTTCAGTCTCCCCTGAAGTGCTGGAGACTCCTGTGAGATTATCTGGCCGTTTTCTGGAATACAGAGGTAAAATCAGCACCCACAGCACTGAGGCCTGGAAAGCTGTGCAGAGCAGGGCCTGAGAAAGCCAAACCTTGTAGATTCAAAAAATTAAAAAAACCCCACCCAACACTTTCTTTTTTTTACCATGAGTGAGCCTGAATTCACCTAGCTGTAGGTTTTAGCTGTAGACTGAATTCCCCATGGGTTAAAAAAAAATTAAAATACTTTACTGTACAGCTCTGGAATGTCCTGTTTTCCTGCAGAAAGGTGTGGGTCCTGTACACAGTGTCCATTATCAGATGGGAGCCTCTCCTGGAAAGAGGATTAACCCACAACATCACTCCCAGCCACACAGACACTGAATCAGGCACAAGGCTCTAAAACAAACCTCACCCCAAACTCTAATCCCAGACCCTTCCCCACAGGGATCCCAGGGTTGCTGGAAGCACTTAAACACTGTGGCAACAATCAAGATGGATTTCTATTATTCAAAAGGAAGACAGATACGCCAGTTTAGCCTTTGGGGAATGGACAGTGGTCATTTTTCTCACTCAGCTGTGACTGTGAATCCAGACTGATTCCACTTGCCATTCCTTTGAGGGAATCACAGCTGCTGGAAGTCTGAGGGCCACAGCAGCCTAAAGGGTCTGTAGCCGAGCACCAGAGCCTGTGCTGGGAATTAAATAGCAAGAGAAAAAAAGGCTTTTCTTTCCAAGAGATCAGGAAGAGGAAGACATGTGCCTGGAGATAAGGAAAGATAAAAGCATTCCATTTGCTGAGGCCTGTGATAGGGATCAAGATGTTCATCTGCCAAGTCAGTAATTTTGTGGCCGTATGACCATGCGGAGTTTCCGTTCCTGTTACCTTTTCCCACACTGACTGAAGGCACCAGATTGTTGGCATGGAAGTTCCTTTCAGTCTGAGTGGCTCAGCCCTTTCGGGGAATTGCACAGGCTGAACTCGAAGATAAAACTCTTTTACTTCAGGAGGGAAAATGGTGCAGCGGGAGCAGGCTGTGAGCTCCCTGGCCTGGGGAGGTGGGAACAGGTCAGACAGCTCTGGGGAGAAGCTTGGGTAGAGCTTGTTTTCTGTGAGGGGTCAGGGCAGCTGAAATGACCATTGGAGGTGACTCCCTGCCCTGTTTGCTGGGATTCATCAGGAGTGAGCTCACGGGAACAGTAGATCCCATACAAGGCCTTGATTAACATCAGGAGCTCAGACGGCATTTGCTGCTTCCAGAAAGGCTTTTATTGTCTGATTTTTTTGTTACAGCAAGCAGCAGATTTCAGTAAAAAAAATTCAGTAAATCCCGCCTTTGCACATTCCACACACTGGCACATGCAACAGCCAAGCATTTGGGCTAAAATTATCTGTGCTATCATTAGGAACATATGGACTGATGGAGAAGGGAGCTGTGCTGCTGTGCTCTAGGCTTACCCCAAAGGGAGCAGTTCTGTGCCTCCTGGTCAGAGGTGTGACCTGTTCTCTTTGGACAGGAGAGCCGATGTGTTGGGCTGGTGCTAGATGGGCACCAAAGGTCACCCAGGGCATTGGGCACTGAGGGCACTGGGCACAGCACAGCCATTCCTGCCCCTGTGCTGCTGGCTTCACCTTCAGCCTAACTCCCAGACTCCTGAGATAAATCCTTGTGGACAGGCACATATTCATGGATTACAGGGCAGCCCTTCTCTGTGTTCTCCCCGAGAGCTGTGTTCCTTGTAGGCCAGAACTGCTCAAAAGAACTGCTCAAAGAACCACTTCAGGCAAGGTTCCCATGTCCAGCATTTTCTTTTTAAAAAGCCTTGCCTCTTTTACCACCACTGATTGCAAAGCTTTTGATTAATCATGAACTGAGATGTGAGTGTGTGGTGTTAGCCATGGCCACACAGGCTCCCGGGCTGCCGTGGTGCTGAGGGCGTGTTACGTGTTCCCTGTGGCACAAAAACAGGGATGGTTTCCAGGCTGCTGCAGCTGAACAGATGGGAGGGTTTCAGATTTAGTCTCTAATATAAATACGAGTTGCATGTGCAAGTCCTTCAGTTGGGAAACTGCCTGTCATGACTGTTTGCAAAGTCGGAGAATGTCAGGCTGAACCAGCCTCACTATTCCTGGTTCTCTCTCTGTAGTTCAGCTCTTGGAGACACAGAGCTTGCCAACCCCAGAGTGCTGAAGGAATGGCTTGCAGAGTTCAGTTTGTAAAATTCTGTTTTCAGTGTTTATATTTAGTTTCCGTTTCGTTGGTGTTGCAGAAGCTGATCCTGCAAATATTTACCCCAGTTAGGTTTTGTGTGTAGAGTTCTTGGGAGTGCAGTGGGAACTCAGCCCAGGGAGGGCACAGGCCTGCAGTGGGCTGAGCATGGAGAAATTCAGTTTTATTTTCTGGACAGGGTTTTATATATATACATATACACATATCCATGCATATAGCACACATATGTGATGATCATTGCAGGTTCTGAGAGAGAAAGGCCATTCAAAGAGTCACTGATCCCCACCTGAGAGAAGGCTCAGTGAGTCAGAAAGCAGCAGCATGGTGAGTGTTCTGTTATGGCATAAATGATAGCACAGACAAGAAAGAAAGAAAGAACAAATTAATTTCTAAAAGGAGTGCTGAGTTGATGTTGCTGGTCTACAATTATTGTACTGTTGGGGAGGGACAGAAACAGCCCCAGGACTGCTCTTGTCTGCACATCCTCTCTCACTCACGTTCTCTCCAACACCTTTACAGAGCAAGAACACCAGTGACAGAGGGTTCAGCGATGCCAGTTCCCTTCAAGCGGATCTCTCCAATCTTGTGATCTGGGCACACAGTCACGGGACCATCTGCAACCAGATCCCATTCCTGGAATTTATGCAGAACATGGGTCACCTGAGCAATGACAGCACTGTGGTGTGGATGTGCAGAGTTGGACATGCCTATCACTGGCACTGTGGGAACTTACATGACCGAGGTGAAGAAGAGACTGAGGCTGTAGGAAGGAGAAAGAGGCTCCTGTCTTCTGAGTCTTTGGCAAGGGAATCCAAATTTGAGGAAAAGAGGTTCAAGCTGACCCCATCATCTTTTGAGATGGGTCAAGCAGATTCTGGGAGCACAGGGTTATGTGGCAGATCCCAAGGAATCGATGACAGGAAACCTGTACCATCAATATCTGCAGAAGAGAAGTACTTGCCAAAGTCTGATACTAGCGTTCAAACTGGCAAAGAGGATGAGAAGTCCAAAAGTGACAAAGACATACAGCCCATGTCTGATGAAGAGAGGCATGAGGCAGATGAAGACAACCAAGGAGACAGAATCAGCCAGGATAATGTGTCAGAGCCATCTGTTGAGGAGTTGGAGATGCCTCACTGCCAGACGAGGGCATTGCACCAGCCAGCAGCCTCCCAAAGAGCTGCCTGTGCCCCCACAGCAAGGTCTCCTGTCAGTGACTCGGAGGACCTGAGCACAAACATCCTGAAGCTGGGTTCTTTCACTGCTACAGGGCCCACAGCTGAAACTTGCAGATCAAAGAGACTCCTGGGGTCAGAAGCACCAAAGGTGTGTTTCAAATCCCTTCCCATCCTCAGCGCTAAGGCCAGGGCCCAGCTTGAATCGCAGCCCTCTGTGATACTCTTTGAGTTCCAAGCCACTGCTGATGTTCAGCAACATCTCCAGCTGAGCCCTCCCAAGTGTAGCACACCGAGAATGGGCTCCAGCAGGGATGGTGCTGAGAATGTGAGTGAGGACAGTGACACATCCAGGCAGACACCTTGTTCTTCAGCCTTCCAGAGTCCAGAGAGCCATCCACCTGCAGCCTCAAATGAAGGTAAGACAGCCTAGAGTTCTGTGCCTGCAGGGGTGTGGGGGTGTTCTATTAATCACTTTCCCAAAATATCCAAGGAGGGTGAGTTCACATCACTGCCAAGATCTGTACTGCAGCATCTAAGTAAATATCTTGGATTTGGGGCACTCCTGTTTCTGCTCAAGGGGACTGTAAAGCTCTCTGCCTAAAGGAATTGGTACTTCTGTAGGAAATGCCCTTCTCTGGGGTACCCAAAGATGTTCTTGGCTGTGCCCCAGCCCCAACATCCCAGTTTGAATACTTTGGTCTTCCAAAGTATTCCCTCACAGTATGTTTGCCATACTTGAGAGAGTTCCTGTGGGAAACTGGAGCCAGAGTGGGGAACTCAGGTCTCAAGAGGAAGAAACAAGAGGAAGTAACGCAGAGAAATTGTGGCCAAATTTGGCTGCACCAAAGTCAGTGGCAAAACCTCCCAGTGCTGGCAGTGGCAGCAGAGAGTCAGTTCTGCATAAGAAATTGCTTTAGTCCTTTCAAGAATGAAGGTTTTCATATGTGCTGTTCTGCAGCACAGGGGCCTGGGTGTGTCCTTGCAAAGGGCAGAGGTTGCTGTGGCAGCATTTGGGGTCTGCCTGCTTACAACACTTACACCACCAGTGCTGGTCCTGAAAAGGCTTAGGGGTTGTTGTTCCTTGTGGAGCTGTAATGACACAAACTGCCACAATTGGGGTTTGGGAGCAGTATTTTACTGTTTTCATAACTGATGTCACATGTCATCTGAAGGGACTGGGAATTCTTCTGGGAATGTCTGTGTAGTAGCTGTTTCTGCCAAGGTAACTGGCTCAGAGGAGGCCTCAGCATTATTGATTCATGAGCTGTTCCTCTCTGCACCTGGAGCAGTCAGTACAAAACAGGCCAAAACCCCAAACCAGTGAGACAGCCATCAGCCTTTCAGGACGACAACTAAGCCTGTAAAAAAGAACCTGGTGCAGAAAGAGAAATCTCTAGGTGTTGGCTCATGAGCCCTTTTCCATCACCCCGTCCTCAGCCCTGGACGAGGCACAGGCGAGCAGATGGAGCTTTCCAGCAATCCAAAGAATTCATTTCTCATGCTACATCGAACTAGGTAGATGTGGTATTGCCATGGCAACTTGAGAGAGAGCCCAACCAGAATCCTGGCAATCCTTTAAACAAAATCATAGTACACTTTTCACTCACCTGTTTGTTCTCCCTCACCATCCACCCCAACTTTTGGTTCATGCTGTTATTTCACAGTGAGAGGGAAATTTCCCTCTATGGCAGTGAGCAGGGCCAGCTGCCAAGGGAGAGGGAGCAGGAAGGAGCTTGACTTTCCCTGGAAAGCTGGGCACTGTTGGGCTGTGCTAGCTTGTGGAGAACACAAATATGACCCACAGTTGTAGGGGAAGGGACCTGGGAGAGTTGTGTCCTCTCTGAATGGCTTCCAGAAGGCAGGTAGACACTATCCTGTATCTCCTGGTGTTTTACTGATCTTTGTGGATTCTTGCTGTCCATAAAGTTGTGTCTTGTCTTTTAGATGTGCTGAAGAAACAGGAGAAGAAAACAAATAGCATTGGAGACATAGAAGTGTTCAAAGAGTGGCTGAAGTTGCACCACCCCTCCGAGACACGCAAGATCCACACGCTGCCTCCTGCAGACCTTGACCACTACCTGGTCTCGTTCTTCAGCTCTGCCAAGAGACAGAATGGCATGGATTTTTCTTCCAATTCTTTGAGTTTCTTCCATCACAACATCAGCCGGTACCTCAAGGACCACAGCTATCCATACAACATATTGAGAGGGCCAGAGTTCAGGGCCTCTCAGGAAGCCTATAAATTAAATCATTGGTGTCTGTTCCTAAAGGAGGAAGGGTGGAGTGTTGTGGAGAACATGACAGATGATGATGTGAAAAACCTTTCTAAGAAGGGAATTTTAAGCAAGACACACCCTCAGGGCTTGCTACACCTCATGTTCACCAGCCTCATTAGGGGGTTTGGGGCCAGCACCCACTACCAGGCCCACCAGCTGTACTGGGGACAGGTGGTGCTGAGGAAGACCAAAGGAGAGCTGGAGTACTTGGAGTGGAAAGATGATCTGAGCCCCAAGGGAGACAAAGAGGAGCTATGCCCACGGCTCTTTGCCAAGCCTGAGGATCCAGAGACCTGCCCAGTTGCTAGTTACAAGGAGTATGCCAGGAAGAGGCCACCAAACATGCTGAAAGACAACCACCCTCTGTATCTGTTTCCCAAGTCACTGTGCTCTGTCTGGGACGAAGTGTGGTACAGCAGGAAGGCACTGACAAAACCCAAAATTTATAAGATCTTGAAAGTTATTACCCAGGAAGTCACAAAAACTGAAAGAAAGACCAGGAAATTGGTGTGTCCCATTGGCTTTGCCCCTTCAAGCTCTCCAAAGCTGGTCTGAAGCAGAATCCTATTGCAATATTTGGTGTAGCTTGAGAACAAACATCCTTCTGCTGGGCTTCACCTTGGCACTGAAGGTACCTACAGATCTGCAGTGCCTTGGCTTTCAGAGAATCTCCTTTGTTGTTGTTTCTGTTACTGGAATTGATAATTCAGTGAGTTAAGGAGAATCTTCAGTTTCACATTTGCCAAAAAAGTTAATGTTCTACCGTGTGGTCAATGCTGTTAGAAACAGCCAGTGCTGATACAGAGAGGGCTCAGAGGTGGCAGAGCCTGGCCAGGAGCGTCAGCTGCACCCACATTTTGAGGGTGACACCACACACAGCTCAGCCTGGGGCACAGACCTGCGGGGACGGACGAGCAAGATGAGGAGAGTGATGACGCTGCCGATCCCAACCTCGCAGGAATGCTTCTGACAAGGTTCAGGTCATTTCCCCTAGGGAAAGATTCATAGATGGAAGGAGTTATGGCTGTTTAAAGTTACTTAAAGTGTCTGACAATGTTGAAAGGTTTTATAGTAAGTGGTTTCTCTGGAGTGCAAAACACAACTCCACAAAGGCACTGGGAGGTGAGCTCAGCTCTGCTCAGCTGCTCCAGTGCTGTTTAGAACCTTTTTGGTTGCACTGTTGACAGAGCCAAATAAAAGAACCTTTAATTCAGCCCTGTCTGTCTGTGCCTGATCAGCAGGTGATGCTTTCCTGGAGCACTGGTGTGCTCCCTGTTGTGCTCAGTCTCCCCTGCTCCCAGCCCAGTGGCAGAGCTTTGGGCCCTTTGAAGCCCTATGAACCATCCCCATGGTGTCAAACAAAGCCTTGGGAATCAAGCTCTTCACCAGAACTGGTCCCATTCAACCAATTGAACATCAAGAGGTAACTTAAGGACGTTTGAACAGACATAAAAACAAACTCTAAAGGTGCTGGAGGGCGCCTGCCAGCGCCCCTTGTGCTTTGGAGCACCGGTGGCATCACCATGACACCACGACAGAGCAGCTGTCCCGAGGGTCCTGCCGGTGCTGGGTGCCAGTCCCGGGTGACCCAGCCACGGTCACACCTCTGGTCCCCGCTTCCCTCAGCAGCCCCCAGACCCCCCCGGCTCGGGCTCTTTGCTCCCTGTCGCTGCTCGGTTCGGCCCTCGCCCAAGGCTCGGCAACGAGCGGCTGCGGACAGGGAGAGCAGGTTACACCATCTGCCCTGTCACAGCCCCGGGGCACCTCCCGGCTCCCTGAGCTCCACCGGGGAAACCCCCGCTCCCGGCCGGTCCGTACCGGGATCCCGGCGGGTCGGTACCGGAGTCCCGGCGGGTCCGTACCGGGGTCCCGGCCGGTCCGTA